GGTAAGGGGTCACACAGGTCTTCGTTGTCTTACCACGCAGATTTAAACATGGAGGCACCTCATTGGCTGCTACAAGGAAGCCTCTTTGTGTTCAAATCATCACAGCTGGATGAAATTTCCATGATCATCCAGCTGTTTGCTTGTTTTAAATGCTAAATACTTCGTTTGTTACATTTGAGGCCAAATTATTTTTCTTGACTGCACAGCAATGTTATTATTGGTCACATTAAAAATTCACCCAAAGGCTCCAGCAGGACACAATCTAGTACAACTTCAGGTAAACTACTGACTTCCTCTAAAAACAGGAAGAGGAAGACGGGGCTATAAACACACATGACAGGTGAGAACAATCTGGGCGAGGCGGACGATCAAAAAAAAAAGGAAGTAAAATTAACACAAGACACTGAAAGAAAAATGTAAAACGGGAAATAAACATAAGCCAGCCAACGCTGGAGAAAACTAACATGATGGAGCTGCAGAGAGAAACAGAAAAGGGTGGAGGCCGGACCTCGCTGGAGGGCGAGCAGCAGCAGAGCCTGACGGCTGGTCCTGAGGAGACGTCTGACAGGTTTGGTGCAGGAACAGATGCTGAGGTCACATCTGGTGGTTGAGGAACAGGAAAACTCAGACTTGGCACGCCGCTGTGATCCAGGAACTCAGGAGGGGAAATATCAGATGAAGCTCAATAAAAAACAGAAGAACCAAAAACTTACAGACTACAACACTTAAGTAAATAACCGTCTCATTAAGTGTCAGTTTTAACGTGTTTATATCTGCTGTAAAGTTTAACGTGGGAGTCCACGGGGACCGACTCGCTGCTGGCGCCTCTAGTGGACTTTATAGGAACTGCAGGTGTATTTGTTTTGTTTTTTTTTATTTGTACCTTACTTCCTACCTCAGCGTGCTAATAATGTGTCATCAGTGTGTGCTCCTCCTGACAGTAAGCCATTATTTTGATGCTTTCTTCCTCAGATAAACCCTCTGAAGTGCAGCACTGTGGTGCAGCTGTACCGCACCCCGACATACAGCTGCTACCCCAGAGACTCGTGGGCCGCTCTGGTCAAGAAGCTGTTTGTCGGGGAGCTGATTTATCCCTGGAGACACAAAAGCACCAAGGTTGACTGAGAGAGAGCCAGAAATGCGATGGAGGAAGAGGAGAGACGAGGGAGCGGGGGAAAGGGAAGAGACTGAATAAATAAAGAGATGGAAACGGACAGGAAAAAGACAGACGACCTTCGGGAGATGTTTTTATATTTGATGGGAAGAGCGTCACAGAGAACATCGCCTGAAGCTGCCGACTCATCGCGTCTACAGCTTTCTGCTCAGCCTGAAGGTGGATGATGAATATTTGAGCTCACACGGATACCAGAAACAGGACAACCAGCAAATAGTCACGTCCTGCTGGTGTTGGTTTAAAGAGCTGTGGGTATAAAAACACTCGAGGAAGCTCTTTCACTCTTTCAGAGTAAAATTCAACTAACCTGATCGTTCCTTTGACTTTACAGATTTACATTTTTATTTGTCATTATAAAAGACTTTATGTTTAAGGAAGAACAACAAAACTGGACCAAAACAACTCCTGTACGAGCTGTGGTCAGCCATAGAAAGTAACAAACACACGTCTAATTCTCTGTTTGGTTTTTGTACAGTCACTTAAAATAAAGTTCCCCCTCCAAACTGTAGAACCACTTTAGCAGCAACTAAACTTGAGGAAACTTAAATTAAAGGTGTTCTTTCATCAGTCTCACATCACTGTGGAGGACTTTTGGACAGACGTGTGCCACAGCTGCCCTGGTTAATCCACCAGCATGCACCAAGGCTTCAATCAAAGTCATGTTTTTAATGAGAAAATCTAAATATTGTTCTCTTGTGTTTATGGCGAGTGGTACATTTGTAAAGGAGCTTTTTAAGAATGACCTGATCTTGTTGTTTTGTGTTAACGTGAGTAAAACTGTGGAGCCGTAAACTGTTCGCCTTCAGTGCAGACACACAAACTCGATCAAATGGCTCTTTATATTAACCAACTGCACTGAATATGTTAATAGCTGGAATCTTTCATCCTTAAATAATTGTAACCAGAAAAATGTTGTTGTTTTTTTTAATTTTGATGTCTTTTACGTGTCTGTTTTTAACCTGAGAGCGATTTAGTCTAAATGAAATAATGAATGTTCTTCTTCCACTCACTGACTCTGCACGTCTGTTTCAGCCGTGAAGTCTGATTTTTGTCGTTCATTTTAAATGTAATGTGCCTGTTTTGTTATGTCTGATCAAACCTTTTGACTAAATTCAGCTTTTCATTAAACGTTGGGGAAAATCCAGGATTCTGAGCACGTTTTTCTTCCTCTGGTGTTCATGCTGAGTCAGCTGGAACATCACAACATATTTTTATTGTTTTCAAACAATAAACAATGGAAAGTTTAGAAAAATAAGGTGACAAATTATTATATCATTACATACAGTGTATATGAGTGGCAACCAAACAGAGAGACTTTATACTAATGAATGTTAACTCAGCTGACATCGTTAATGTGGCACGTACTGATGATGTCATCACTGCTGCTGTCTTTGTGCTTAAATACATCGTGGGGGGAAAAAAGACTGCTGAGGTAAAGAGAGAGTTTTATTTAAATGTCATTTCCATTACGACAATTATACTGAAGTTTGACGTGGATACACACATGCTGGTTATTTTCTATCAGGTCCTCGAAATTTCTTCTTATTGTATTTTGAACATGTAAAAATAACAACACAAAGAGGGGAAAAAAGCACAAACAAACAATTAAATAATAATAAAGATGCTAATGATGATAAGCATAATAATAACATTCAAAAAGAAGTAAGAAGAAGCATTAGCTTAATTATCATGTCCCTTTTCACTTTTTCTTCCTGTGTATTCCCCATCATATCATAAATACTAGCTTACAATTTGCATTTGGTTTTAGAACCGCACTAACATGCCGATAGTTATACATATTTACAGATATATACAGACTTATACACACATCCTTGTGCTTTGCAAAAATCATATTTTTCAACCACTTTTTAAGCAGAGTGATTCTGGGACGTTGCTTCGGTGCATCACTCAGCGTGTTTCACAGCTTCAGTTCACACACGGAGGCAAAAACCTTTCTGCTGTTGCGCAGATACAGGGATGCCTCAAAAGTAGAATATTGGGTTTGTACGACCTCCGTATCCAGTATTATGCATTATCATTATGATGTTCATTTTGTAAACTTTGGCCCCATTAGGGTAAACAAGCATGATAAAGCAGGGTATCCTGTAGCATTTATGGGGGAAAACACCCTGTAAATGACCGTAAGCTTTTCAGAATAAAAGCACAGCTGTTGAAGACGCATAGAAGACTGTTCAGTCAGTGTTTATTTCCACTGCATGAAAAGTATAAATATGATCCATCCCAGATGTAAATACACTTTAATCTCTATTTTATCTTAGATTGCCTCATTCAAGCTGCTGCTGCCAGAACACTTCATTAATTATGCGTGTAGGTGTTCTTCCTCAGGAGGCTGAGGCGAGAGATGAGTCATGGTGCTATAAAAACAGGCCTGACACACATAATCAAACACACTCTCAGCCCACTACTGTACATCACATTTCATAATATTATTCCTACCGTGGTTACACAACATGAATTATATTCTGGGAAATGGTCCAAATGTATTTTGCTCCCCTACGACAGTGAAAACTGAAAAATGATCAGTAACAGGGCAGATTATGACACTCTCCACAAACATTTCGCTTTCAGTTGTTATTGTTTTAAATACTCTTTGTTTATAGGAAATTTAAAAAACTGCGTGTTTTATGAACAGTCCAGCATTTCAGGGAGTTTTGTCTGATGAGTCACATGAAAGATTTGATGCAGTTTTTCATGTCTTTTAATCTGAGTTTAGCCTGTTTTGTCCGAAAATAATCAGAGATTAAACTGAGCCGATTGTCTTTTTTCATACAGAAGGCAAACGGGATTTCCCCAAATCCCCCCATAAAAATGATCTCACACAAACATACGGAGGCCCTAAAGTGCCAATCAAATACCTAATGAATAAAAACACAGAAAAGGATGTGAATTTTGGTGCATAAACCCAGCAACACGTGATGGTGGCAGAATTACAACACATGTTATTAAATGCAGCAAGATGAACATTAACTCTAAGTTACTGGATTGATTTTCCTATTTATTTACTTTGGTGTTTTTCTATTTGACCCCATTCATTTATTTGATTTCTATTCTAAGTAACAAAACACAATAAATACACAATAAATAATATAATACTTTAAATATCTAGTGGTAGTGTCTGTTCTTATCAGACACATTTCACTGTGTGTTGTGCTTGTATTACTATGCATGTGAGAAATAAAGAATCTTGAATCTATATAATATTCCACCTTCCACTTTGTAAAAAAAATTACTTTCTATTAAAAATATCTTATATATCTTCTCTTTATAGTTTTGCTGAACTGCTGAACTGAATAAACAAAGAAATAAGTGGTGGAATGAAGAGAAAATATTAATACATAAATAAATAAGTGGTATGGTGTTATTTATGCATTCATATATTTGTTTATATATTTTTTCTACTCTTTAACCTAATCTCGTTCATATTCATTTTCCTATCGATTTCTTTTTCATACTGCAGTCTGCACGCACTGAAAAGAATACAGAAGTATACCGTTTGTGCATGTATTTATTTCTCGTCCTTCTGCTTGTTTCCTCGGTTATTTTCTGTTTTTCTCACTGACGGGGCGCAGCTTTGATTTGATCCAGTTTATCCCACGTGATGAGAATTTTCTGCCTTTGTTCTGTTTACACTCACAGAGAAATGAATCATCTTTGTTGTGCACATTCTCCCTCAGCGCCATCTGCGCGGCGTTGACAGCACGCGTTGATGGGTATTTCCATTGTCCAATGGAAGCCGCGGCTCGTGTCGGCGCGGACCCAATGGGCGGGGCGATGTTGTAGGTGGGCGGGGACAGCAGAGAGCACGGATCTGTCAGCGCTGAACTCGGTCAGTCGTCGCTGTATCCGCGAGCAGCACTGAGGGGCTTTATGTGTGGTTATGACTGAGGATAATGGAGAAAAATGGCAACAGCACGGACTGAGATCACTCACAGAGATTTGGACTGGACGTAGATGCTCCGCGGCCTTTTGATTCCGCCACAGATGTGGGAATTTTCTGGATTACAGTGAAGTTACTGGAATCTTTGTCATCTCGGTCTGAAGAAAGCCATCCAGGCGGCCTGAAATCACTCAGACTCCAGCTGAAGCCCAGCCGCGGTTAGCTGCCTGTTACAAAGCAACATCGTTGTTTTATTCTGTAGAAAGTTATTCAATAAGCTAAACCTGTGCATGGCTAAAATCAGCGCTTTGGTGTCGTTATATGATTACTGTTTTAGCAGTCTGGGATAGCAGCAGCAGGGATAATAGCTAAGCTAGCTAGCGGGGCTGGGGCTAGCCTGTTGTTAGCCGGAAAGCTGCGCTGAAATGACAACAAAAAGACACACTCCAGGTTTGAGAGTTTGATGTGTCACAAAAAGATCTGCTTTAAAAATAAGCAACAGCTGCTAGACTTAGTTTAAAGTAAGTGCAGACAGTAATCATATTTTCTTGCAACTACAACAATCATTCCACAGCTGCAGTTACACTTTAAATATGTGCTTTAATCTTTAATCTCGCAAAGAAAAGTCTTTTGTTCTTTTTTTTTTTAACATAATTTTAAGTTGTCAGTGCCAGTTTTTCTTCCCTCCCAAAACTATTATTGCTCTTATCTTTAAACAATGTTTTACTTTCCACAACCACATTTTTGGCAGCCAAACAGGACATTCCTCTGAGACTGTGACCCCCTTTTTCCTATTTTTTTTCTTTGCCTGAAATTAAACTACCTACAGTTTTGAAGACTGTTAGCAGGCAAAACAAAGACTCCCAGACCCGCATGCGGAACATTCATGGCATAACAGACTGTGTATCAGGGAATAGCAACGCGTAAGGGTGCTGTTTGGTTTCCCCTTCAGCTTCTTGGAGACTACTCCCTCGACCTCCATGTGAGACAGGATGGGCAGCCAGGGCAGCCCAGTGAAAAGCTACGACTACCTGCTGAAGTTCCTCCTGGTAGGAGACAGCGACGTGGGCAAAGGCGAGATCCTGGACAGCCTGCAGGATGGATCTGCAGAGTCCCCTTACGCTTACAGTAGTGGTGAGTCACTCCCACCTCAGCTGATCGGGCTCCCGCTGGCTCATCACTGAAGTCCTGAACATACAAGCTGCGCACGCCACCACCGCTGCTGCTGTGGAGAGCGTACAATGACACATTCACATACACTGAACTTCACAACACAGCAGTGAGTCAGGCGGTCATGGATGTGTGTGTGCATTGTTGTTGCACATAGTGGATAAACAATGCTTTCTCTGATGTCAGTGTAAAAACAGGTTATTATTCAGTGAGCGTAGTTCCTCTTCTTATTCCTAAACACCTTCAGCGGCGGCCAACTGTGGGGGAAAAACAGAGCCGGCCGTGTTTTAGTTTAACAACATCAGCTGTTTTTGAGCTGCTATGGAGGTCAGAAGGTCTCACCTTCAGTGTAGGAGTTCAGTGAGGTGTAACTGAAATAAATGTCTCTGAACTAACTGCAGCTCCAGAAGTGTGAAACAGACTAAACATGAAAACATTTTTATGACTCATTCATCACCAACAGCATACATGCACAGCTTCATCCGATGGCATTAGTAAAATATAACTGAACAGGTTTCATGTATAAAATGTATTCCTAACTCTCTGTTGCACTTAGAGCATACTGTCAGACGAGTCAGTGGAAACCAGGAGTCTTTAAACAGAAACTCACAGCACGTAACCTGGGATGAAGTTAAGGTCATGACAGTGGCGCCTGTTACACTCACCTTTTTCATCCTTGTCACTGCCACAAGGCACACTTTGGTGTCATTTTGGCCACTCGTGCACCTTTTATGTTTTGTACCCTTCGACACATGCTTCGTGTGGTGAAGACAGGCATGTTTACAAGTGTGGGGTTTTTTTTGCCGTGACTTTAATCATATTTAATAACAGAAGCACGGATCATACAGAGGTGGATGTTGCAATAGACGAGACTTTTGGGGGGGAAACTGTGATTTCTTTGCTCCTGGTTTTGACTTCTTCTACGTATAGCAGCAGTGATGTCAAGGTTTTGTCTGAGTGGCAATGATCAAGAGAATAGTGCAGCTAGAGCAGGGCGATATGGCCAAAAATATTTATCACGATATATATTTGAAAATTTGTGATAACGATATAACTGACAATATAATTGATGCGAGACAAAATACAACTCCACAACTTTACTAGTGCAAAAAAAACCCCATCCATTTATTTTCACTTAAACAAGCAGCTGTTTTTTATGTCCATTAAAGTTATATAAACATTTAACAGTGCAAATGCAAATTCCTTGATGAAAGTTTAACCAAAAGGCATCTCCAGTAGAAATGTGCTGACATATCCTGAGCATAACCATGTATAATATCCACTGAAGTTAAAAAGAGGAGCTTTGCAGCATTAAACTGCAGTGAGCCAAATAAAAAAGTCAAATACGTATTTTTCGGACCATAAGGTGCACGGGATTATAAGGCACATTAAGCAAAACAAAGCAGTCAGATAAATCAAACTTTATTCAGCTCATTCTTCTTGCTTCCTCCACTTCTGTACCATTGATTCATTAATGCTGGATTCTATCACAGCTGCTCTATTCCCATGTTGTTGCAGTATATGAATGACTAACCTCGTGTTGTGGATGGATTATCTCAGTTGTTCTGACTGAAGTTTGGTCCTTTTACAGCATCCTGCCATGCGATTGCATTTGTCTCTAACCATCAGGAACCTTCACGTTAACTTTAATCGAGTGGAAAAAAGTTTCACTGTTTATATTATGCTAACATAGCTGTGTAGCTAGCGATCACGTAGCACATCATTATATAGCAGCTAGCCCAACTTCAGTAACCCTACAAACGTCACTGCTGTTTAGTTTCCTGTCTTTATTTATGTTGGAAGTGACAGCAGAGCTGTACGTTTATTTTTTTCAGAAATCTCTGTCAGAACATGCTATGTCATGTTTAGGTAACTAGCGAAACTAGCGAGCTAACTTCCGCTAACGTCTAACTCCGTTAAATGTAATGAATTCTGTTTTCATGGATGCCTGGAGGTTAAACTTAATAGTTACACCTGGTAAAGCAGCAATGCTGATCATTTTATTACAGATGAAAGAATTTAGACAGTTTTTAACTCAGTGATGCCGCAGTGTTCGTTTGACTTTGGGACCATCATCAGACGGTGACCGTGCGCGTGCCTGGCTGTTATTTGTAGCCACGCAGACTTTCACCAATTACTCACGTGACCCAACCGGTGGTCTTTAAGAAGTATAGCGGGAAGGAGCGCTCAGCCGTCGGGTCTCCAGCTGTCCGTCTGTAATCAAGGTATTATACTTTTTGTGGACATGGTCAGCTGAGGGCTGAGCAGTCATTCCTGTTATCCTTCTTTGAAGAGCGCCACCTGGGGCGTATGCATAGTTGGTGCACTGATCCAATTTATTCTGTTTCCGATACAATGCCAGCGGCTTTGCTTCAGTATCTGCAGACACCAATTCAATACCAGGGTACATTCAATAAGCTGGTATTTCACAGTCAGAAGAAGAAAATGGGAGTCACGTTTTTGTCATTAGAGTCAACTTGATGTTTATTAATGAAATAAATGATAACAAGTAAAGTGAAAAATGCACTCCTCTCAGTGTGAGAGTATCCCTGTTGTTATTTTTGGCCTCATTAGTTTCACGGCTCTCTGTCCCACTGCGAGTGCACCTCCTCGCACACAGAGTGGAGCAGATGGAGACTGGAGGAGTAAACTAGCATGAATCCAGCTGACGACAGCGTGTTCTGTTAATATAGGTGCTATAAAAGCTTTAAACCACCTTTAAAAACAGACAAAGTGACAAACTTTTACATTTAAAAAATCCCGACCATCAAAATGCTTTAAAGCTTCAGATGGAAACGAGCATTAATTATGACTAATTACCCGGTGAGAGTGCGTCTCCGGCACTGTGTCAGTCTGTTAGTCCAGCTTCAACTTTTCATTTACCTTCCAGTTCTTTGTTCCTCGCGCTAAACCCGCCGTCACTTTAGAAGATAAGGAGGAAGAGAATGAGCCGGCCTGCAAGCAGCAGCAGTGATGCTGTCAAGTGAACCAGTCCATCATAATAACAACACAATGGAGGGCTGAGCTTGGTCGAGTCCTGGGGGGATATTTCATTGTTGTGCACTGAAATAAGAAAGGTTTAAGAGCCTCATTTGTCTAACTGATGCGCTGAGGTGTCTTTTCAGCTTTTGTTAATTGTCTTCTCTGCTAAAGCCTGCTGTTATCAGCCATGAAGCATATCTCAGATCAGGGGAAATTATTTGAAATCCTCTTAGAAATTATTAATGCACAGCAGCTGTGCCGCTAACTAGAACTAACGTCAGCCATGTTTTGCTTCTCTTTATTGCCTCAAAGTGAAATCATTTTAAAATGTCGTTAATTACCCGACACGGCTCGAGCCTGCAAAGCAGCCTCTGAGACCGTGTTCCAGCAGTCTGATCATCAGGTTAACTCGTCTAGCTGCTTTCGAGGCTCCTAAACGCTGGAACAGCCTCCTCCTTCTGGCTGGTCGGCTTAAACGCAGTTCTTCCAGCATCACTGGGATATAGTTCAAAGAAATTAGACTAATGACATCCAGCAAGGATGGAAGTCATTTTGATGAATAAAAAGATTTACTTCATTTATCCCCAGATGTTTGGAAATTCCCAGATCTGGTTTTAATGTGCTCGTCACTGTTGTGACCTTCTGTCTTCTGCTTTGTTTGAACGAGAATAAGTTTAAAAAAGGGTTAAACCCTAATTCCTTATTATTTCTTGTTATCATTCAGTTCATAAGGATTGTTTGTAGAGACCCTCAGCATGAACACATGCATAGATTTGTGAACTCCAGTTATCCTCACCAGAGAAGAAGGTTGTGGTATGGATGAAACGGTGGGTTTGTGAACTGTTCGATCTATAATCGGTTTGATAATGAAAACAGTCGCCGTCTTCTCGTGCATCGCAGACATGTCTTTGTATCTTCTGTGCCGTTGATGGACGTCTGATTGTGATCGATAAAGCACACAAACTCTAACGACAGAGCAGGAAATGTGACAGACCGGTCTATCCAGCTGGCACCCCCAAACCCGACAGCCAGCTAATCACAGCCTGAGGACAGCGTTAGCCAATCAAAATCTGTCCTGATTTTCCCTTCTGAAATATTCAGGGTCCTCGCAGGCACTCTAGCCTGCCTTTGCCAGAGGGATGGAAATCAATAGCAGCGCTTCCGTCGGCACAAACATCCCCATCGAAGCTGCGATCCACTCTGCACTCCATATTTAATGAAGCTCTTTGAATTCTTTTGATCTTCCTCTCATCAAATGGGGCTGCTTCCTCTTTTACAGACTGTTTAGGAGCTGGCCTGACAGCAGGGCAGCAACAAACATTCATCTGTCATCTGATCAGCTAGCAACAGCCCTGAGTGGATTTTTTTTGTTGTTTTTTAATGCAAAAACTGCTTCCTTCTCTAAGAAGTTGGGCCAAAACCTCAAAGCTGTTTCCTCTCTGATGGTAGAAACACTTATGATATATACCAGGGTAGGCGTCTGTTCTTCAGTGCGTGCTGCTGGCGTGGTGGTCCTCCGTGTTAATTAGTTCCCAGTCCTGTAATAGGACGGGCATCGACTGCAGCTGGCGAGGCCAGCTCTGATCTGTAAGATGGAGAGAATCTCCAACTAGCAGGTGGAGAACTGGTTTATGTGCTGCTACACCGAGCTCACACTGAGCCAGCAGAGCAGACTCCACCAGCTTCAGTCCACAGTGGACTTGGAGTTTGTCTGATTTATTTATTTATTTTTATGCTCACTGTTGTTGTTTCTGGGAAACGTCTGTTTTTCAAACTGGCTGGAAGTGAAGGGATCAAGTGGAGGAGAGGACCCCCGCCACAGCCAGGGCTTTATCACCTGCAGCTGTTGCAGTGAAACATTTAATCTGGCTTAGAGAGGCTGAAGTGTACCCATCTCCAAACACACACACGAACTGAGGGAGGGTCTCCGTGATGCTGCTGAGTGCCAACAGGCAGCTTCGTCCTGTGGCACGATTCCTCAGATGCTGGGAGATGCAGTATTTATGATCACTCTCTGATGGTGTAAAAAGGAAGAAGGTTCAGGTGAAAGCAGCTGATGAACTGCGCAGCTGGTCCATCAGTGTTTTCCTGCAGTATGGTCAGTGCTGGTAATGTGATATGTCTGCAGGTTTTATAAATGACAGATGGAAGTGCGCATTAAACTGAAATATGATGCATCAAGCTGCATTTTCATTGTGTTGGACTTGTGAATGAGACAGGAGCAGTCTCTGCAGCATGTCGGCTTGTGTTTCGTTTCTGGTGGAAGGAGTTTAACTGCGCAGCGCTTTTAGATGAGGCGCTCTAATTTGCGACCATGTCAAAGCCTCTTCGACGCGGTCTGAGCAAAAGCTGAAAGCCTGAAGCTTCACACGTCTCTCCCACAAAGTGAGTCCGTTCCCAGAATAGAAGCAGTTTTCAGCTGAGACATTAGAGAAGCTATTGATTATCTGGGATGTCCTAAGTGCACCCTGGATATGAGGGGGAAGGAAGCGCTCGTTACGAAGCCCTGCACTCGCTCCGATTCAATTAGGCCAGCCTGAGCTCAGCACTTTAGCCCAGCAGCAGCTTGATGTTGCCGGGAAAATTGGAAGATCTTAGTAATGTGGTCCTGCTAACCGCCGGAGGCTGACACAGTAACATTTGATAGAGCTATTGTCTCTTTCATTAGTGTTAATAATGGCTGTGGATTGAAAATTCGCTGAGCTTTGCCTTAAAGGGCAGCGAGGAAAAGTGAAACTGTGGGAATGTAACGCAGGACTTGTCTGTGTGAATACTTTTACATGTTTCTGTGGTACAGTGAAGAACATTCATGAGAATTTCATGAGTTTCAAAGAGTTTTACTGAGAAACAAAGAGTCCTTATTTAGTGTTCGCCCTTCTTATCAGAGCTCCAGGCTGACCCGTTTGTGTGCTTCTGCTCTTTAAAGGCTGAACATACCAAACACATAACTTCTTCCAGGAGAGGTTTGGTGGCGGTGTCTGAAGTGAGAACTTTCATTATCAAATAAACCTTATAGATCCCCAGTCAGGAAACATCCCTGATCTTTATCCAGTCTGTGGTCAGCCTTTAGGATTATTTTAAACTGTGAATCATGCAAAGCTAATTAGACTCCAGGATAAAACCACAAAAGCCATTTAGTGACACGAGAACCTGTTGAGCGAAAAGATAAACATCTTATCAGAGGTGAGAATCGGAGTATTCAGTGGCTCACCTGTGAGGCTCACCTGTGAGGCCTCAGGTGGAAGCAGGCTCAGTGCAAACCTCAGGAACATGTCCAGACGTGGCGCGGTGGGGTGGCAGGTGTAGCGGTCTGACAGGTTTGTCAGAGCAGAGCTGAACAACAAGGACAGAACAGAACGAGCTGTTAGCTGTGTGTGGCGCCGCGCCACAGTCCGCCTCCATCACAATGGCTAAACGGTAAACGCGGCGTGTAAAGGCTCGTTACAGGTCACACGCAAAAGTTTGTCACGGCATTTTGTGATGGACGGATGAAGGTGTAATGGCTAAAACGTAAACTCAGCTGAAGGATCAGGTGAAGCTTTCAGTCCCAACGTTATGGCAGCACAGCAAAGCGTTAAACTGCCACCTGATTATTTAGGAGTTGATATTTTCTGTTATGCAACTGAAGCCATATGAAATACACTGTTTAGATATAGAATCAGAGCCATGAAAGAGCGGCGTTGTGTTTGTTATCATTCCTAAACACGTGGTTGGGACATTTTTAAAGAACGTCACGGTCGTCTGCGTCGTGTTTCAAGTGTTCATGGTGATGATGAGTCACTTCCTCCAGCCTCTCTGACTGAGTATTGTACTTGATTGATTTTTATCGTTTTCTGTGCTTCTATCTCCCTAATGTCCATCTCTCGCTCTCTTCTTGTCCAGGTATCGACTACAAAACCACCACTATTCTCCTGGACGGCAGGAGAGTGAAGCTGGAGCTGTGGTAAGGACATGGTTTTATTTTTGTATTTTTTCTTGCATCCACTCTAAAATCCTGCAGTATGTGTCTGTGGCCTGAAGCCAGAGTTTGGTCACATTAAAGCAGAAATGGAGCATGCCTTTGGTTTAGTGAGGAATGGGAAAAGTTTTTATTGATAGCAGTTTTTTTTTTTCCTTTCTGTTTTCTGTGTTTGGAAAAACAGTTTTATTGTCTCTAAGTCTGAACACAGAGTTGGAGGGAATAAAGAGAAGAAGTGAGGCATGTGACTCAGTTACTGTTTATCAGAATCAGAATCAGATATGTATCAGTTTATGTAGCTCGTTTAAAAGCAACAGGAAATGAGCCGAAGTGAGGGGAGCAAAGGCAGATTAACATTTAAGGGAATGTTTTTAAATTTGTAAAAATGAACAAATAGAAGAAGATTATATTAAACAGATTAAGTTTAAACTGGAGTAAAAACAGACTTTGATGATGGGTCTGAAAGTAAAGACTCTAAACTTACAACAGCAGGGACGAGGCCAAAACATCACCTGTACAAACTGTGAGTCGTCTGTGGCGCTCCACACCATGCAAAGCATCACACGCTGTGTGGCTAGCATCATCACGCCTGTACAGAGAGTGGGTCAGTAATAGGGCTGCCACAAACGATTATTTTGATAGTCGACTAGTCACCGATTATTTTTGCGATTAGTCGACTAATCAGATCATCATCCATTGGACGTACAGCTTATTGCACCAGCAGCATCTGCTCTTATATAACTATCATTAGCTTACAGCTTTAAGTGTTTAAGGTCTGTGCTAACTAAAAATAAAGACAAGATGATAGTTTATTAATTTTAATGAAATTTGCAGATTGTTTTGGTGAAGTTTAATAAACTCCTTGCTTTCTAAAATATAACAGGACACCGGAGTATATTCTCCAGCGTCTCACACTTCTGATGATCAGCTGTCTGCTTGACAGTTTTAGCTGTGCAAAAACTATAACTTTAATCTCAGCCAAACCGATTTACTCAGGAACAAATAAAATACTAAAGAAAGCCAAACAATAACATTTTTAAGTTATCTAAGTGACTTATATATATATTTAACCTGAGTAGTGAAAGACGGCGGTGGGTTTGAAAACGATTTGCCGGGAGTCCGGTGTTCTCACGGCTCTAGTTAGCCTAGCCCCCGGCTAACTATCGAGCTAGTGGGTAACAGACGTCTCCGAAAACGTCGGAGCGCTTTTGAAAATATGTGGTGTCTTGATAAACTGAGCAGATATTTGAGGTTTACACAGCTACATTCTCGCCTGAAAATGTGTTAAACGTTTATTTTGTGACCCAGAAAGAATAATAAGAGTAAAGTTAAAACTACTAGCTGCCGCCATTGTTGACAACTGCGCTGGGCTGCGCAATGAATTCTGGGACACAGCTTCTTCTTCTTCGGGGTTTAACGGCAGCTGGCATCCTTGTACATGCAGTGCTGCCATCTTCTGTTTCAGTCCGTTATTACACTCTTAAATCCTGCTACTCATTCCTGCGTCCTTTGTGATCTTACAAAGCTTCAAACGACGCGTCGACTATTAAATTAGTCGTCGACGATTTTAATAGTCGACATAATCGTGACTAGTCGACTAATCGTGGCAGCCCTAGTCAGTAATAAGTGGACTGGATTACAGCCTCTGTGTCAAAGTACTGCAGAACCGTCTTCCACCTCGCTTTGTTTACAAGAGCACAGAAACTAGCAGACCACAGAGAACGGGCACTAACGTGAAGCTGCACAATCAAACCAAAGCCAATGAATAGCTAGCAGCCTCCAGGAGAGAGGCAGTTCAGGAGGAAACCAGCTCGCATCAACTCCCATACAGGTGAAGTCATTTCCTTAGGAGGAAGTAAACAGCACCTTCACCTGCCAGTAGATGGTCCAGTAGATGTTTCTGAAGATAAAGAGGAATCTCACTGCAATGAAGACAGCTTTACTGGCACTACAGTCAGATCTGTTTCCCACGCTGAGTTTTTTCTTATCATCTTCCGTGTCTCTGTCACGTGCCCGTACTTTCAGCTCACAGCTTTCATAACTGCCATGATTTTAAAGCTGCAAGGTGCACGTGCACGGTCTCTTTGCACGCTGTCATGTCGGTGACGTAATCCTGTATCTGTGGAGTCGCAGCAGATTCGCGTATTTGTCTGCAGTGCTAGGCGAGGCCTGTTTGGTGGAAGTAGGGCAAGGAATTCGACTCCTGAGGGGGGAACCGATGCCTCGTCTTCTGTGTGAAGAAAGAAGTTTGAAGGCAGCTGCGTGATGCAGGATCTTTATTTTGCTGCCTCAGTCTCGCCTCCTCTCCTCGCTGTTTTACAGTGTCAATATCCCCCTCTTCCTCTTCCTCTTCCTCTCGCTCTTTTTTTTTTTTCTTTTTTTTTTTCCTTCATCCTCGGCGTCCTTTTTTTTCCTGTGTGGTGACTCGGGCTCCTCGGAGTCTCTGGGTTGGAAAACAGCAGATGCTGAAAACTTCTGGGATTATTATTACCATCAAATCCACGATAAGACCAAAAGCACAACATGAAATTGTTTCACCTAACAAGAATCCGTTTGTTATTCTGAGGCTCCATGTTGTCCATTGTTTACATGTCCCCTCATTAGTTTACTGTGACTCAAGCCCACATACGCCGTCCTGGTGCCACGAATGCTCACCGGAGCACCAGACGTGGATTAATCTGCTGCTGAAAATAGTCCCCAACAAGCACAGGGACTATTTTCCTTGGGAAAACCATCAGCATGCAGCTGTTTTATGAACATTTGGGATTTTTTTAGAAGCACTTCAGTAAGGATGCAGTTCGTGAAGTTGGAGGTGTGCAGGCGTAAAGAAGCCAGAAAATGTTTGTGTTTTCTGGTACGCTGCACAACAGATGATCCTCTCAGACGGCAGCACGCGTAGATGGACTGATGCTGCTTGGAAAAGCAGAGCAGCTGTTTTTTAAACCTGAAAAAAGAGATTTTATTCTCATTCCATGTGTCAATCCGGTTTGCATAAGTCTGAGAATCATGAGTTCTCTGGTGTGTACAGCTCTGTGTGAGACTGCAGGCTGAGCTCACGTCTGACCTGCAGAGTATCTGAATAAATAAGTTACTGTGTTGGAGAATAAACCAGTCAGAACTATAAAGTGATTCTGAGTTTGAGCCAAACCCACAGCCTGCACTGATTATATGTAATTTAAACTGCCTTGAGTCTATTGTTATCTTGTGCCCACGGCTCAGACGTCCTTAGATTTACCATATTTTAAGTCTGTGTGCATGCAGTTGTAGGAATGTGCAGTCCTGCTGCCGCTCGCTGTAGTAGGAACTACCTCACAGACACTTCACACAGTGGTGGGTTGGAAATGCAGTGTGTGAGATACAGCGAACGTCACAGGTTTAGATGCAAACAAAGACCCAGTCTGACCACAGACTGGGTCTAAACACTGAAGCCCCCACCACCATCGTCGTGGCTGTCTTTTATTTATATATTGAACCCATGTTTGGATGACAGGGAGCCGTAAATGCACTGATAGTTTTATTATGCTTTTCTACTTTTACTGCTTCTGCACTACAAGCCACGTTCAAGAGCTCACACACACTTTAATGCAGCACTTTCTTCCCTGCTTTTAAGAGCCTGTTCTGTGTCACTCACACTTCAAATCGGCGCATCAGGAGCAATTTAGGATTGATCGTCTTCCCCGGGGACGCGTCTGTATGAGGACTGAGAGAGCTGGAGGTCGGATCTGACCTTCCTGCCTGCATCGGCTCGTTGAGCAGCCTGTTAGCACAGTACAGCCGTGTTATTTGTTAGATAATGAGTATAGTTAACCAGGTGGATTCATCCCCAGTGTAGTTGTTATTGAAGCATTAAATTTGCTTCTGATTTCCAGCTGAAGTTTGGGAGCTGTTTTATAATGCGTCCCTGTGGAAGTCTTGTTGGGCACGCTCTCCATTCTGGGGTTTGTGTCATAACAGTAACTCCTTTCTAACATCAGGTGAAAGAGGAGAAAAATGCCGGCGCGTCGATGTAGAACTCGTGCTTGTGGAGGGGAAGGGTCTGGGCGTGAAACAATGGGAAAGACATTTTTTCTCCCAGAGTAATCTCCAGGCAGAGAACTTGGAGTGGATGTCATCACCCTGGAATGCAGAGTGAAGGGAAAACTCGAATCTTCTCAAAACTTAAAGTGCAATTGTGAAAAAGCCTGAGAGAGATCCAAACAGCCGTTCCCTCAGAGCTCCGTGACCCATTTAAACTTTGGTGCTCTCAGAAGTATTTTACCAGGAAACCATCAAAGTAGGCGGGACCTTTCACTCTTTAAGATGGTTTCAAAATCACTTCAGTGGTGGGAAAAAGTGCAGTCGTTTACTCATTGTATAAAAAATACTTAAAGCGACTCACAACCAAAGACCAAAGCACTCTTATCTTTGATCAAGTTGCACGTTTTGATATAAATTTGTGGCATTTGCGGCAGATCATGGAGGGTTTGGGTCAGAGCGCGAGCAGGCTGAAAGTGTTGTAGATAGAGGGATGAAGGGGATTGAGTTGCATGTTTTTGCCTCAGTTTGGAGGACCATCGCTGGCTCTGCTGAATCTGAAACCCCCAAAAAGAAGTCTGCTCAGATTTCCGTCCTGTTGGCTGAAGCCTGCTGCTTTGTGCTGTTTACCCCGAAAGCAGAAGAGGGATTTATCTGCTTGCAGCTGCACAGACCTGAGTGTTTAATGTGCTGCCTTTCCTCAGGGACACCTCGGGACAGGGCAGGTTCTGCACCATCTTTCGCTCGTACTCCCGCGGAGCTCAGGTGAGGAGCAAACGGCTGCATTCATTTAAATGCTGCTGGAGTTTGCACGCTGACATCGTTTGTCTCTCTTCAGGGGATCCTGCTGGTGTATGACATCACCAACAGGTGGTCCTTCGACGGCATCGACAGGTGGATCAGAGAGATCGATGAGGTGAGCGTTTGAGAGTTTGGCTTTGTTTCTAATGAATCCAGTCTGACCATGTGACCCACACCTGAGTTATTCTCTGCATTAGCATAAAGAGTTTGCACACACTTTGAGCCTGGTTTCTTTTCTACATCATGTCCTGCTGTGTTTAAAATGATTTAGTTTTAATTGATGCTCTTACTTTGATTTCAGATGTAAACAGGTGAGTTATAAAAACATTCTCCTCCTGTACTGTTGTTATGAAGGAGAAATTATCTGTAGAGACAAAACCGTTTCTGTGTCAGGCTGTAAACATGTTTATTTCTGTCGGGAGTCTCTGGGGACTGACTAACTGCTGGAGCCTCTGCTGGACGTTAGAGGAACTGCAGCTTTTCTTGGCCGAGTCCTTTATAGAGATTCCTATAAACAAGCTGTAACACAAACCAGTGAACATCAGAGGAAAAAGGATAAAAAATAATATATGAACATCTAAACGTATATTCAGGCAAATCTGGTGCAACATTTGTTGCAGAAAATTGGTGATCAAATATTTGAATGTAATCAGTTTACAGCCAGCAAACTGTCATCAGTTGTCATCTGTTTATGTTTCGCCTTCCAGAGATTCTTGAGTCGACTATCTCGTTTTTATTTCTGTCCTTAAAAGTGTTTAATTCTGTGGAGGTGGAGCAGGAAAGGCCAAACGGGAACGCACATTCCAAAGGCCAAAAATACCAACACACACACAGACAAAGAGGACATCCTCTTTGTTTCCAAATCAGCAGGAAGGACACACACATACAAAGTAACTCACTGCTTACTCATATATGTTTTCTCAGCATCGAAGTTAAAGTGTAAGATTAAACTAATCTAAGATAATCCCTGCAAGATGAAAGATAAAATCTAATGCTGCAGGAACAGAAGAGGAAAGAAAAAACTGTAACACAGCAAAGTGTGCAGGGATGATGATGCAGCAGGTCCCTAATGACGGACGTTCAGCTTTAAAAAGTTTGAAATATTTAGATTTCCTGAAAGTCTGCAGTGCGTCTAATGCAAGTCCTGAAACCCCCAAATCTGTGATGCCTACAGCTACCAGAGTAGTTATGATAACGTTGTAGACCAATCAGCTCCTGTGCTGTGTGGATTTGCAACTTCTGGGTATGAAAAACAAAAACAAGCTTCTGTTCTGGCTCAGTCAGTCAGCATTTCCTGTTTGAAGCTTTAAATGCTTCTATACATAAATCAGTACATATTAAAGACAGGAAATACTTTTAACAGTTCATCTGAGTGCTGTTTGAGTCTCATTTGCACCAAAAAGCACCGGGTCTAATGAAAAGTCACAGCCTTTAACTTTTGGCTGTGACCACATTCTTAAGAACTGCACAACAGATGCTGACACATAATTTTTCTGAATCCTCTGCTGTGCTTCTGTCTCCTTACAACAGTATTGTCATTTCATCTCATTTTCCCTTTTTTAAAAACTGATCTCAGATTAGAAGTGATAATAACTGTCCTTCTTCTCCTGTTGATTAATGAGAACCGTTCTGGTCAAATAACCTCATCAATGAAATTTAAATCCTGCTGCTGTGAGGATTTACTAAATTGCACACATCATGATTTGCACAGCCAGCAGAAAATCTGTGAATTCAGCCTGCGAGGATGAATCCGATGCATCTGCCACTAAATGTGGTTAAAGAGCGGAGAAAAGTCCCAGAAGGTTTCAATGTGATTGTATTTGCAACGATAGGGCAAAATGAGATAATCTCACAATGTTAAAGAGTCCTTCTAAGATGGTTATCACTCCTGAGTCAGTTTGATTTTAAAATTTTCAAGCATAATGTTTTGAGCTGCCCAGCTAACAAACCGAGAAACTGAACCAATCACCTTCTTCTTCTTCTTCTCTGTAGTAGTAGTGTTCTCTATTTTAACAGGTCAGTTTTGAGATCTAATTTTAAGGGACACCGACACTTAAGAAAAGGATGTGCAAAAGGGGAAAGACAAATACATGTTCCAGTGTTTTTGTTGCTCACTTATAGGTTTGCAAAGTATTTAAATCCAGTTTTCAGTGTGAGTAAAACGCCCAACTAATGTTAGAAGTGTCCTGTGACCAGACAGTGTTATTATATTTAAACGCAACAGCAGGGGCTCAGATGTTAAATATGATCAACCTATCTCTAATGATCGGCTATGTACCACAGGCCTTCAAGCTAGCTGTAGTTAAACCTTTACTCAAAAAGCCATCTCTAGACCCAGCAGTCTTAGCTAATTATAGGCCAATCTCCAACCTTCCTTTCATATCAAAAATCCTTGAAAGAGTAGT